AACAAATTCTAGACCCAATGATAAAGGAAATTATCACTTTAATGGACAATTTTCATGAAAAAGAAAGTCAAACGGACACCAAACTTTCAACATTTTTCAGGTGAAAAATTATACCAATCAAACACAATTAATTACAATTCTCAGTAAAGCAATTTCTAGGCTATTCAATTATCTAAAATTCATTTTCTTTCTGCTCATTTTCCACATTTACAATCAAACGGACCCTAACTTCTTAAAAAAATTCACCGCACAAATCCCCCACCACAAAACTGAACTACCCAAAAAAAAAACCACGATCCGCACCATCGAACCAGAATCCCGCTATCTACCCTTGATTCACACCATATCAACTGATCACAACGAAACTAGTTAAATGACGCGGATCGCAATTCCTGTCCGTCGATTAACTCTCAAAATCCAACGGATGCCACGTGTTTCCATCCCCTCTCGCTCCCTATATATATACTCAAAATCAACTTGCACATCATAACTTAACTTTTACAGGCGATTCTCAGATTTGAATATTCTTCATTCTTCGGATTCCAGAAAATGTCGGGTCGGGGCAAGGGCGGCAAGGGTTTGGGAAAGGGTGGCGCAAAGCGGCACCGTAAGGTATTGAGGGATAATATCCAGGGCATAACTAAGCCGGCTATCCGTCGTTTGGCTCGCAGGGGTGGCGTCAAGCGTATAAGTGGTCTAATCTACGAGGAGACTCGAGGTGTTCTCAAGATCTTCCTTGAAAACGTTATTAGGGATGCTGTTACCTACACAGAGCATGCTCGTCGCAAGACTGTTACTGCCATGGATGTTGTGTATGCATTGAAGAGGCAGGGCCGTACCTTGTATGGATTTGGAGGTTAAAAGCTGCTTTTGGGTTCTAGGGCTAGGGTTTGGCGATTGTAAATGGGGGTTTTCATCGGACTCTCTGGGATTTCAATTAGTGTTGTTTTTTTCATCAGATCTTAAATTAATGAAAATCTCTTTTCATTTACGCCACATTCATCTTTTCATCAGAATTTTGCTTAGTTATCAAAACGAGACTGGACTGGTCGGCGATTAAAATTGTTTCGAGTTTGAATTAAAGGGCTGGTATGCGTTACTGATTGAATGTCCTTAACTTTATATCAAATTGTGATTTGTTTTTGCTTTAGACTTCAAAAATCAGTAGAAACGGTACATCATTCTTTCGATTAACAGCTTTGAATTGCGATCTGTTTTTGTATTAGAATTTAAAATTCGATTATCTTTTTGCACTTTCATTTATTTGTGTAAATTTTTGTTCTTTTTATGCTAAAACTTTATTCATTTTGCATCAATTTTCTTTTGAGGATTTCCCCTGCAAAAATCAATTATAATACAAAGTGAATTGAAGTTTGTTTGATTACTCAATTAAGCATATTTTTTAGGTTCTAGATAACTTATCGGAAGACAAATGAAGTTGGGAAATACAAAGAAATCGAAAATTTGGAATAACACTAAGCCCCTGTTTGGAGCTGATTTTTTTTGTGGGAAAAAAAAAATGAAATTTTGCACTGTCGAGTTCCAATTTCAGCTGCATTTTTTGACTCTTATTTCACATTGGTGGGACTCACCTCGTTATGTAACGGTCAAAAAATCCATTTTTTGGACCAGAAAATTGGATCCAAATAGAGGCTAAAACACCAAGCCATTTTTGTGTATTCGAGCTTGGTTGACCCCATTTTTATTGGAGGATATGTTTTTGAAATAATAGATTGACAGAGAATGTGCAGTTAAAAATAAAGAAATTTTTTTTATTTACGTGTAATATTATTTTATTAAAAATATGTTATTAAAAAGAGGTGAGAGAAAAATATATTTTAAAAATAATGTGAATTATACATGAGCTAAGTAGAACAATAAAATGGCAATCTTCCGTAGCATAACAATTACATGATAAGAAATCATATTTAAGAGTTTAATTATAACTCATTTCAAAATTAAGAAATAAAGTTTAAAATTTCAAAAATTAAATATTATTAAAATTTATTTGTGAAATAATTCATTAATTTTTTATTAATTTAATAGATTATAATGTTATAATTTTATATTATTTGATCACACAAATTATCGAATTAATTTGTCGTAAATTATTTCAAGATCACGAATATATTTTTTTTTATAAATTACAATTTATTCATGGATTATAAATTACAAAGTTAGGTTAGGTTAGGCTGGTTAGGAGTTTGAAATAGGTTGCTGATGTTGGGCTTGTGTCATCGTGGATTTCGCTCCGCCGTCTTCCTTGACTATAATTGTGTCGCCAAACACTATAAGCAACATCACAACAAAGACCTGTTTACCACCACACCAAACATCATACCAACCACTGAATTGCAGTGCACCAAACACTGCACCTCACCAAACATCGAGTTGTAGCAACACTAGGCGCCGCCTGCTGCATATGTTGTTGGGGCGCATGGACGTGGTGAAAATTTGTTGGAGAACGTGCGTGTGAAAAGGCGCCGGGAATGAAGGGGGTGAAGAGACATTTTTTGAAAATGAGGGGTGGGTGAAATGGAAATGGTAGATTAATTATTTAATAATATTAAAATATTGAATTATGATATAATTTTTGAATAAATAAGTTTACATCTTATTTTTGAAGTGAAGAAAATGAGAGGTGAATACTCCTTGAAGGATTTGAAACAAGTACACAATTAATTGAACCCAAAAATTGGGCCCGACAGATTGCAATGGGCTTTGCGTGTAAGCTGGATCTGATAGAACTGGTCTGGATGTTCAAGAAGGGACTGATTTTTGGGTTTAAAAGGCAAGTTTTCTTTTGGAGACTCTCTCTCTCTCCAAAATTCTTCTCAAATCATAAAGAAGGTATCTCGTGATTCTTTGTTGTCGATGTTTTTATGTCCATTGTTAGAATTGGATTTCAATAATTTCATTTGAATCAATTGGTGTTAAATGAAGCCAGGCCAAACTTTTTATGATACAGTTGACAAATAGAACTCGTAATCTCAATAGTATCGGACAAAATAAGAACTAGTATGTTTAATCTTTTTTTTTTTTCAATAATCGTGGTGACAAATTTCTGATAAATGTCACGAATTATTCTCCTTCTCTAGGGTTAAAAACAGAATGGAAAAAAATAGGGTGATGTAGCAAGTGTTGATTGAGTGTTGTGTTTTTTTTTCAAACTGTTCAATTGTGCCCCAACAGGTGGCGCACCTGTTTTTGAATCTATCAATCATCCCGTCCTTGCAGCGTGCTTGAAATGTCATACCCTATGTAGTCTTTTGGTGTCCCATTTAATCTACTTTTAGTTGCACCTAATCCATAAGAGTTGACAAGTAATACTCAACAATGTTTGGAATTTATCCATAAACTTTTTATTGGATTTTATAGAGGTCTAACACTGCATTAGACCTACATTTTTTATGCACTGTCCATCTAGAAAAATACAAGACTTTTCCCGTAAACTTCAAACTATAGGGGTATCTTATCCATATGCTTCCATTTACAACATGACATGTTATGGACTGTGTTAGCCTAGGTTTCCGAAGAAGAGATTGGGCGACTTGAACCTTTTTGACCCATCTAGTTTTGGATAGGGATGACAACAGGGTGAGTCGAGGCAACCTCTCCCTTCCCACCAGGCAATTTCTTGTCTCGTCCCCACTCCATTACTCGTTTAAGGAGGTACGAGATCTTTGCCCCGTTTACTATCCCGTTTATTTTTATTTATTTATTTTTTATTTTCGATAATTCATTTTGTTGTCCCTATTCATTAAAGTGAGATAATAATATATTTTTTAATTTATTTTTAAAAGCTAAATTATTCAAATATATTTGGTAAACAAAAGATTTTATTGTTTGTCATATTTTTTAAATAATCTTAGTTGCCATTTTCTATTAGAACTAATAAAATTTCGTAGAATTTTTCATTTAAAATATTGAATTCTAAAAAAAATTAAAAAAAACCATTACCCGTATCCGTCCCGTCCCCGCGAGTATTGGGCTTGTCGAGTTTTTTTTTTTGCCATCCCTAGTTTTGGAGGATAAGAATTCGTTTGC